ATGCTTCAGAACCATAGCTTCATAGTGTCACTGGACCTTCCTCTCCTTCTTTAACAAATCATTTTGTCCCACATTAATAAGAGCTGTGAACTTTCACCCTCCCTCCCTCTCTCGCTGCTCAGCTTGTCACCGAGCACCCCAATCACATTATTCCCTGAGACTCCTGTCTGATGCTGCTATTTCAGGCTTCAGAGCCATTCGTGTTCATTTCATTTTTACAACTTCATTTCTTGTCAGCAGGGATTAGGAATGTGATATTACTGCACTCACACTGGCTGAAAGAGTTGTGAAAAGGCCTTCTTGTTCTTGGAACCAGCTGGTCATTGTTTAGCATGGTGGTGGTGGTGGAGTATGTCTATGTGCAGGGGAGGTGATTCACTGTTAGACAGGGTGGAAATAACATCTTACACAAAGTTACAATTGCTCAGGGTATAAGCAGAAAGGTTTGGTTTTATAAAGGCTACTGTGTTTTGTCAGTTTTCACTTTGAGCTGATTGTTTTCAGACCAGTGGTTTAACATCGACCACGATGTCTAGTGGCTACCTACTAGTAGTGATGTCCATAGCAAGGTGGAGTCAAGACCTACTGATGATCTCCACTTCATTTCACTGCTAAGCATGCTCACAAAGTGAGAAATGAAACCTGTGTACAACCTTCACCATCTAATAAGCAGCCCTGTCTCCTAGAAACTATGCTTATAAAATACTAAACTTTTTTTTTTGTTTGTTCTATGTTGTAGTGGAGAATCTGACTGAAAGCAAGATTAATGTTACATCTACATCCACAGCGTTTCATGTTAAGTTATCCTACTGCTTCATATTGCATGTTTTTGTATTTTCCTCGTGTGTCCCAGCGGCTTCTGTGCTTAATTCTCTGGATTGTAGATGAATATGATTAATTACTGTTTCTTCCAGGAAGCGCAAATGCCAGGGACAGAATGTTACTGGATGTGAAAAACATCAAGTGGCTAATTCAACTTCTGAACAAGAGAGATTTTGGCCAGTGGAAGAAACTGTTTTACTGAATCAGCACCTACAGTTCGTGATTCCACGATGTTCATGCACCAGTGATACTGGTTTGTGTCCCTGTAAGTGACACAAGAGTGTGTGTGACAGAAACATAAGCTCTGTTATGTGAAATCTGAGCATGTATGGTTTGACATTATACATTTTTCACGCACTAAAAACTGAACAAATGTAATTTTCCACTTAACCTGCCACTCAACACAACTCAGAAGCTTTTACTGTAAGTACATATAAATATTAACGCTTTAGGAATATTGTCTTATTATCTTGTTAAAGAAAGACAGAGTGAAGAGTTTTGTTCTTCAGTAAAATATCTTCCATATTAAAACAAATGGTACCCTGACGCTACTGCTGGTTATGGATTAGCACTGAATTTGGGAATCGGTGTAAAAGCATCCTATTCACATTCAGAAGGCAGAAACCCTTCATATACTGTTTACCTAGCCCAAAACTGGTATCTTACCTTTTCACGTGAGTTTCATTACCTAATGTGCTGTGCAGTGCAATGCGAGTGGCGGGGTGTGGGGGGGTCTACAGTTCACCATGTCCTCACTTTGACAGCATGCTG